GAGAGAGTGAGAGAGATCACAGAGGAAGAGGGAGAAGCAGACTCCCTGCTGAGCATGGAGCCTGATGTGGGACTCTATTCCAGGATCCTGAGATCATGACCTGAGCCGAATCAGATGCTTAACTGACTGAGCCAACGAGGCACCCCCTTATTTTTTCAAATTTTACAAAAAACATATAAGCATATGAACGCATCACCAGGATCTTTCCGAGGGCTTTCCTGGGCCTTTAAAGGTGAGGAGCCTTGAAGCTTAAAGCTTCAAAGCATTCAGGAAGTCCATCCCTGATAGTAATGCACAATCACAGCTAGCATGTGCAAGGGACTCCTCTAAACATTTCATCTCTGTGAACTTGTTCTGTGGTAGCTGCTGTTGTCCGAATTTTACATACGAGGAAACAGAAGCACAAGTAGGTTAAGTAACTGAAACAACATTTCAAAGCCAGTGAGTGTTGTAGTTGACATTTAATACTCAACGTATGCACTTAGCCACTATTCTATTCTGCTTCTCCAGGAAAACACAAAGTTGAGTAAACAGGTAAACCAATCATAATTGCTGTATTCTCAACCCTGAATTATGACATTAATATGACCATTCAGAATTATGAATGGACAATTATGGGAAAAATTATGGTAAAATTATCTCAGAGGATGGGGGTAGGATCTTGCATGTACTGGGTGGAAGAGGGGAAAGGAAAGCTAAATCTTAAATCCAAAGTGGATTTTCCATAGTTAATGGATGAAAATAAAATCAGTTCAAGCATATGATTTAAAAACATGTAGGTAAAAAAACAAAAGAGTTAAGTAGAAGGAAAAATAGCTACATCTGAAGAGGGGGAAGAATGGACAGAAGGCACTTTTATTAAAAAAAAAAATGAAACCTTTTCTGACATTATCCAGACTATGTAAATGTGTAATTTTGATACGTATATAGTTTTTAATTTTTTGAGTAAAATAAAAAAAACTTAAATAGATCATTATTCAATGAAACAAAATCGATTAACAAATACACATAATTAATGGAAACAGATTCTGGTGTTAAAAACAAATTGAAGATCTAAAAATACCACCAAAGAACTGATAAATACATTAGAATAATCAAGAAACAGAATAGCAATTTATTTGAAAACCAGATGGGTGACAGAGGAGATATTTGACACAATTCCTTTGAATGCAGAAAAAAGAGGGGGGAGACAGAAGTAATTAGCCAAATAAAATTAAAATGGAGGGCAGGCAGTGCTGACACAAAATTGGAATAATGCTGTCATATATATGTGTGTGTGTGTGTGTGTGTATGATAGGAGAAAAATTTCCTGCAATAAAGAAAGAACAAATATATACATAAAATAAAATTAGACTGTCCTTGGACTTCTTTGTAGTATGATTCAAGGAAAAGGCAATAAAGAAAGTTTTAGGGAAAGTAGAACTCAAGAATTTAAATACCTAGCCATGTTGTTATTCACATAATACATATAACAAATAAACACTTTAAAGTTTCATGAACTAGGGAAATTAGTTCCTTTAAGCTGTTCATGAAGAATATCTGGTTATAAAGGTCAGCTGTTCAGCTGGGAGTGAAGGGATAGAGGTGAGCATCCCTTTAAAGAGAGTGAAGATGAACCCCCTGTGAAAATGGAGTTCACAGAAATAGAGGTGCTTTAAACTTAGATCAACATAATACAATTATTGGGGCGCCTGGGTGGCTCAGTTGGTTAAGCGACTGCCTTCGGCTCAGGTCATGATCCTGGAGTCCCTGGATCGAGTCCCGCATCGGGCT